CTCTTTATCTAAACGAATAAAAATAAAAGTCTTAACTATTTTAAAAAAAAATTTTTAAAACGTGTATTCTTTAATATCAAAAGTTTTGTTTTCTGGGGTTATTAACCTTTTTCGCTTCGGGGTTTTTTGTTAAAAACCTAGGGAATTTTTTCATCACAGGGCCGATTTACCATTATTTAACCATCTTAAATACTACTTTTTAATATAAAAGAATCATGAAAATATGAAAACACTTAAACCATTTTAAAACCGCCTAAGTTTTTGTTTTTTAGCTTTAAATTTTATTGGGGGGAGAGAACATAATTGTTATAAAATTGGGAACTTTTTTCAAATTTTAAAATTTTAAATAGTTATGGAATGAGTAAGAAAAATGGAAAAAAATAATTTTAATTAATGTTAATTTTCGTGTTTATAGGAAACCCCAAAAAGCCTAAAGCATAAAAATTTTTTAAAACAAATTTTCAAAATGACGCTTTTGTATTGGTAAAAAATTTAAAAAAAAATCCCAAAAATCCTTCAAAAAACGTTTTTTTTGGATTTTAGTGGTACCAGTAAGGGGCCATTTATTTTATTATTTGTGTAAAAAATTGGTTTTAATTTTAAAAGTTACAAATTAAAAACTATTTTTTAAAAGACCCTTTTTAATTAAACTAGGCGGGGTCAAAACCCCCAAATTTTATAATTTTTTTATTAGATTTAAACCCTTTTTTTAATTTTGCCCTTTTCTTTTTTTTTTTTCTCTTCATTTTTAAATTTTAAAGGGGTTTTGAAAATTGTTGAAAATTTGAAATGAAGGTCTATCCTCCAGTTAAGGCACACAAAACGTTTGCTATCGAATACGGAAATGGAAATGTCAATAATCATGCACTTAAAAGTGTAATTTCAACAGACAGCGGACATTGAGCACCTAAATGTAAAGAAAACTGTGTCAGTAATGGAGGAGGTACATGTAGTCCTAAGAAGGGTTCTGAGTGGAAAGCAAAGGGTATGTCAAAATTGCGAACTTGGGACTCTTGATGCCCAGTACCCTTTCTCGTTCTACCTGCCTACTTTATAGGGCTAGTCCCAAGGAATCTGGAGCTAGTTCAAATAGTGCGAGAGTAGCATAAATACATTACGCTATGTAGTAGTAGTTTGACCTCTAGGATCTGTCTTCTTTTGTACAATAATCAAAGCTAGGATCTTTACCTGTCAATCACTGCTTTTGGTTCGAACAATGCTTCAAAACTTCTGCCCATTCCCTGTGCCTTCAACGACTTGCACATACCGAGGGGATGAGAAAGTACGGCAAAAGAAATGACATGACCATATCCGCCTTTTCATACGAAATGTGGAAAGATATCAGCTGATATGTCCAATAGACGTTTTTCACTTGTACATGTATAAATGTGAAGTTACAACCATTGTACACAGTGCTTTTTCACTAGTCCATAAATATGATATAACTTTGCATTATTTAACTCTAACTTTAATTTCATGAATGGAAACGTATGATGATAGGAACATGGTTGATTGTCGCTGAGATATTGGATGTTCCTCTGTACCACATTTAGTTGCACATAAAAGCGTGCACTCCTGGGATTTCATGCCTGCACAGATTATGAATAAAAGAAGTTAAAAGTTAAACATTTTGATCTGTCAATCAAACAACATCGTTTCGTAAAATTTTCTTCTGATCTTGAAAATTTGATAGAAGTATAGTTTTTAAATGGAAAATGCAATGTTTGTAAAATATATGGTTAACGCAAAACGATAACAGTTAATGAAATTTGGGGCTCAACATTTGAAGTGAAGTACTCTTGAAATGTAAATCGAATGACATGCACCATTGCCAGAAGATCCTAAAGGAGGACATTTACGTAACATCTGTTTAAGAGAGAGCAAAATAATCCAAATTCTGTTACAGAGTCACCTGTTCACTAGGTAAGAAACTTGACGTTCTGCCTCTAGCTAAAGTGGTTTGGTAACAATCAGTTACCGGAATCAATTTTATGAAGGTAAAGCTTATAACATGAAAATAGACTCTTGGGGTATGGCGATTCAGAAAGAATTCTGACGAAATCAAGAAAAAAAGAAGATAAAAGCAAAACATCTGTAATTAAAGTCTCTGATTTTGATTAACGAATTTTAATCAGCAATTGAATCATATTTGATTATCCCTTTCTTCAAACAATTAGTTAAAACATATGAATATGAAACTGAAATTCATAGCATATGCCATGGCATTTACTAATTAACTAAGTAATAATGTATATACATATTGACTATAGCTACATTGATAACGTTGGTAAGATTACCCCTCCCACTCTGAAAATATGACAACAATGAACCATAAATGGACAAGTATTTATAAGTCTTTGTTGTAAAATTAAGTCAAAATGTAATTAAAAACAGAACTATGTAACGTTTGAGTTTAAAAGTTATAAAAGTGCGAAAATCTAAATTTCAAATGTTATTTTTCATTATCAGGAGTCAATTTATCCCCACTTACTTTTGGGATGAAAACCTTTTTTCAGAATTTAGATATTAATAATATTACATAAATAGAAACAAAACTAAACATTTTTGTTGAATAACACATTTTATAAAATAACTGATTCATAAAATCAACTTCTAATGTAGAAAACAAAGGTTTTTTATGCATAAAACAATAGAGTTTTGCGCATTTTATTATTTTTATAACCAAATTTGACTTACTAACGTAATATATAGAACAATGGATATAGAATACAACTGTCCATATAATTTTAAATGACACAATTGTTGTCTAAAAGTCCAATGATAACAATTATAACACACAAAAAAGATCCTGTAACACAATTTACCGAATTTAACATTTCATGTAAATAAAGGGAGGTAATAAAATATTATTTTCTATAAAAAGTAAGTCAAAATTTATTTGCGGTACATATTTTACATATTCTTCGATGTTTGACAATTATTTTATATGCATAATTATGTACATGTGTATAATTTCACTTAGTGCGGTTTACCACTTTGATCACAACATACATGATCTTTATAGAGTAAAGGAACTATAATATATAAAAAATATATTTAGATTTTGTGCAGGGAAATGTAGCAATGAATTGCTATTAGAAAAAAGTTTTTTATGTAACATAATATGTGTTTTGTAACATATACCAGTAAAGAAATGAGACATCGGGCATGATCCTTAACCTTACTGGATCCGATCCCAGTAATTATTACAGAATCATTTACTCATTTAGTTATTAAGAAATTCCATTTATACCAAACAACTTAAATGGAACAAATATACAATAACTCTTAATATGTATTGAAAATTCTAAAAAAAGAAAAATATTTCTAAAGGCATGCAAAGGTAGAGCTAAATTACAATATCTAGAAGACCTCGCCTCTTGATTTGATACACGTAAAATCACTAATATTTTGTTTGACTGTGTTCGAAAGACAAATATTGCAAGGTAGTCGAAAAATCACGAAGGGTTATGTTAGTAACACAATTCTTTTTGAAGCACTAAAATATAATGAATCACATAAAATGACAAGGTATAGTATTATTTTTAACATTTTTTATTTTTAAATTGACAAACAGTTATTATTAAACCTCGCAATATATATGGATAACTGCATCAAGAAATTCATTCTTATTTTTAGGATCGTCAACATTTTATTTAATATAATGAACGGTTGTTATACATTCAAAAGCTAGCTAAGTAATTGCTAAATCCTTCTAAATCCTTCTAAATGAATCCGGATTGGGATAATTTAAATAGTCTGTTTGAAATACTTGAAATATTTCTGGAATTTTCCATTAATAATTAAATTTTCAATCCAAAATATATTGCTTTTTAGGCAATCCATTGCTTATGACAACGCATAGAAAAAACCTTAAAGAATGACATTTATTTATATCATCATTCCTTCATTGATTATTATTTGGTTTCATGCATATATATTGCTGCATAGTTCCTAAAAACGTACACTATAACTATATTTTGTTAAAATTGTTAACCTAAAGATATGAAAACATTTAAATAATAAAAAACTAACAATTGAAACAAGTAATTCACTAATTTAGTGCTAAGGAAAAAGTTAAGTAGGCGATATTGAACCAAACACAGAATAAGGTGTATTAAATAACCGTTGGCATGAAATGGAAGATTAAATTTTCAATAAACAAGTACAGAAGCCGTGTGCAATGCAGTTAAATTCAAGATTTCATTTGTACAACCGATTGTTCGTAATACAATCATACAAATATTTTAAGAGAAGCTGTTAACATTATGCCTTTATGTAGATATAGCAATATGCAAGTCTGGCAGTTTCTTAAATAATTATCTATTTAAAAATATAAATATTCCGACAGATTGTTAAGTCATTTTTTTCATTTACTGATAACATAAACGTTTCATTTTTCTGAAGAATTGTCCATCGGCAAAATTGTGTATAGTACATCGTTTCCCTTTCTATTCAACTATGTTTCATTGCACTTGCTTCTAAGTTTAATTTGGCAAATATATATTCAAGTCTTAAGCCAAATTAAAATCGCAATTTAATTAATAGCATGACAAAGATACTACACTTAACAAGCAAGGCGACAGTTAATAAGCAGTACATAAAGCAGATGTGCTTTCGCGGCCAATATATTTTTAAATCTTTTATTGTTCCGCATATCTAAATAATACACCTTTCTATTATTGGATTGTCTCTCTTACAAAAATTCAGTTTAGTATGAGGGGAAATAAACCTAAAGAAACATTAGTGGGGCATAATTGTATTTAAATTTAATGTAAAAAATATGTAATACCTTCATGATATGACCATGATATTTGATATAATTATATACATTTTATTAGTGTTACTTCAATTCTTATTAATTTATCAGAAAACTAAAAAGAACATATTACACACATAAATGTTTTTGTGGTTTTTGTTGTTGTTGCAATAGTTAACTAAATACCTGATGCAACAATGCACGCTAAATATCGCTTCATTAATCACGTACCAATTTACGAGTAGTGAAGGGATAAATTAAATATTGTTTCAAGTATAAAGGACATGTTAATATCAAATGTTTATATCAGGAAGTTAAGATGTCGGTTGTTAAGTGGTTTTAAAAAGCAACTGTTCAACTATGTTCATAAGGAGTAATTAATAAATGATGTATATAACATCCGTTTCATCATTTAATCAAATGAAGAGATGTTTAGAGTATACGTTTAACTGACTTGATGATTTAAGTGAAAATTTAAAAGAAAAAATAGACAATACAAAATGGTAGGAACTGTATCATTCTTCGTTCTTTTGTCAGTGTCATGTTGTAAAGGTAATAATATTAACGTTATATATCTAAATTGATTCTTTCATAATATCTGTATTTTGTAAGTTATATGTTTTTTGCAACCTGCTTTTTTAAATAACAATTAAGGCGGTTGTTTTAGTAACATTATTATGTTTTGTATATCTTTGTTAACATGCGCAAATCAACAAATTAGCATTTATTCACGTTTGTCACACACTGAATTTCTTACTTTCTATAAATTCGTTTTCAGTACAAAGCTTGTCAAAATTCACTATCTCTAATAAATTTAAGTAAATAGTAAGAAAAAACAACTTTTTATAGCAAGGAGTACACTTGACAAAAATTGTTTTGGGGTATCATTAGTTAAAAAAGAGGGACTATTTCTTAAAGAAGGCGGGTATAAAGGGCCATTTTCAAAATGAAACCTGTTCATCTTAATTTGATTTGAATAACGGTATTATTAGTGATTTTGCTGTGTTTATTGATTTTTGCCATTTTTTTTCAGTTATTGCTAGTATAATGTATGGTTTTATGTTGTTGATTTATTGTGTTTAAAAAGATAAGGTCAGTTTTTTATTTGTTTGGGTCGTCAGACCAAACAAATAATGGTAGCGAAATTTCAGAGTCTAATGCTATTAATTGCAAATGCCGAAAGTAGTCCACTTTTTTTGAAGCGGTTACTTCCATTTATATGTACACTAACGCCGTAAAATTCAGTGGATATCACTGCGTAAAGATGGTCAAAGACAGGCGCATTAATTTTCAAGCAAAATAATTTCCGAATGGTCGAAGATTTCTAATATTGTTTTATTGAATTTTCTGATCGAAAATAAGTAAATACAAAGCGGACATTCAATCTCTGACACAGAAGTTTACGACAAACCTACAACAAGTAGTTCTCAAAACAGCTTAAAACTAGCGATTTAAAAGAAAGAAATATTTTTATTTTGTTACAAGTATCCAACAAATTACAACGAATTCAAAGTTTAAAAGTAGCGTTGGCTTATAGAATTGTCAATAAATGTACAATCACAAATTACGCGGATGAATACGATTTTATCAATGAAAATACTATTTTTAGCGATGTCGATTACCGAATACTACACAAACCGAGTAGTGGAATATACAGATTCTACATGTCGTGTTTGGGCGAGAAGATTTTCGCTAAATTATTTACTTCAATTTTAAACAACAGGTTTATCCTGAACAAAATACCTCGAAATTAATAAGGATTACAAACCCGAAATGCAATGGAAGTTCTAAATTTAGATTGACTTGATGTTATTCAGACATGTTAGTATAACTGCTCCGTGGTGCAGGGGTAACGCGCTCGCTTATTGAGTGAGAGGTCCGGAGTTCAAATCCCAGTCGAGGAAACTTTTTTTTTATTCTTTTTTAAGTGTCTTTGTTAAGGAAGTAGCCATGATATGCAAGGATAAAGTGTGGCTGTCGTAAAAAATGAACATAAATGTTTTTTTGATGCAACTCTTGTTATGCAGAATTCCGTATGTATCAAACTCCTTGCCTTGCAAAATTAATTATAATACATAAAAATAAACTTATACAGGAAAATACATACATATATACAGTACGATTTAGATTGCAAAGATCAGAAAATACCACAGAACTTGCAGACATTTGATTCTTTATAAATATACATGCTTAAAGTAAGCTCCGGGATTATTTACATCTGTGTTAAACAACAGTTTAAGTCGTTACAAGCCCTAATTTTTCTTCAGGCCGTTCACATATAAATTCACCGTGGTTGAAGGGTTTTCGCGCTCGCTTAGGAAGCGAGAGGTCTGGAGTTCAATTACCAGTAAAGGCAACTTTTTTTTCAAATTGTTTAAGTCAAATAAACATTGGATTAAATATCAGTGTTGCAATTAGTCTTAAAACGCTGGAAAGCATTGGTGGCACTTTCTTACATTCTGAGACCCAAACAAATTCAGCGCATTCTGTGCTTTGATTACAGCTGTAATCATAAAAAGAATGTACAGGAAATTACCGAAACAGAATATGTTGAAGGTGATTTTACCCGACCATCTTGTTTTTATCTCTCAAATTTAACATAAACTATGGAAATATAAGTAATTCATAGGTATTTTGTTTCTACATTATGAAGGTACGCTCTACATATCTAGTGGAACCTCTGACTGGCTAGGTTACAATAATAGTTGTATTCCAGCCACACCAAAAGTAAAAGTTGGTACTGACATGAATTATTACCTTGATGAAAGTCTTGATGTAGATTTGCCGTCCAATGACAAAGTATGGGTCGGTTATTACAAGGTTGTTAGAGTATTTGAGTATATAGGTAAGTAAAAATGTACGTCATATAGTTACTGTTTAACTCATAAGCAAGTCAGAAAGGTCTTACAGAAAATATGAGTTAGCAATACATTTTGTTTTATAATTTTGAAGAAGAAAACTTTATTTGTAGCACCAAATGTATATATACGAGTTTCTCGTTAAAAGATTCTAGATTTTAAAACAAGTAATATATGTGGGCAATATACCCATGAGTAATCAAAGCACTGAAAGTACTGAAGTATACATTGCTTGATAATATAATCCATTTTTGTCATCAAAGTCATGTTGATTTTAACCTACTGACCTCGAAAACAATAGGGATCGGGTCATCTTCTGACCAAGTCAATGTCCCTAACAAGTGACTCACATGCACCAAGGCTTTTTTCTTCCAAAGTTATTTACAAGTAAAATGGTTTCCTGCGGGGAATGATATAAAGATATTTCATTTAACTATTTTCAACATTGTTTTGGGAGAGGGGAATAAATAAACGTTTGTATCAGGAATATAGTTGACAATAATCGACCAAAATAGAAGACTGGTGACCGTTGCTGACCGAAGAAGGTCGAACATAAAACAATTAAATGTACATGTATTTCTTTTTAAGAAAATGATTAAATAAGCCTACCATTTTATGAATAATTCCAAGCAAAAAAATAAAATAAAGTAAACACACAAGTTTACGCAGAAAATATTTCTATTTATTATCACAGATGCCACTACGAATATTTTAATTTTGTAGATTTTCAGTATAAACAATTTATTGTTTGTAAAATTTGAGATACAATGATAATTTTTAAATACATCATTCAAGTTTTTCCCACCTTAAACGGTAAAATAATTATAGAAAATTAGAAATATCACGTAATAGTTTTTTGTTCTTAATTAGGTGTAATTCCGTAACGTACCGACAAGCGGTAATTAGCCAGGTTTTCGAAAAGGTCAATTAACCAATCGTGTACGGTTTACAGATCACATGCTCCTCCATGTAGCGAAAACAGGTCACGTGCTCCTCCATGCCTCAAAAGTTAAACGCGTACCAATACCCTGCGTTCTCCAGACCGCAGGGAATGAGACAAGGAAGATGTGAGTGTATTGCTAGGAAAGCTGATAGATGAGCAATAAAGAAATCATTTTTTGAAACACCCGGTAAATGGACTGCAGTATAGAATATTGAAACAGTCATATTGAGTTTCCAGTGATGCTATCTAATAAAATACATGATCTGGCTTGGACTCTATACAAAGTCAATTAATTGAATCATCCTACAAGACTTAATTACCAAATTATAGTACATTTCCATGTTACAAATCTACGTACTGTACTTTGATACATTGATACAAAAAAAAAACAAATAAAAAGTAAAAGTTAATTATTAAAATGATTGAAAAGTCTAATTTTATGGGTATTTTTATTCATATACCTTTCTTAACGCGGGTCCAATGTGGTTTTCGGGTTTCCCATGTTTTTACGCTGACTGTTTTTCACACTGTACTTATTACAAAAAATAACTGACATTTTACAAAGGTAATAAAATTTATGTAATAGTTATTCATTTAAACGGTTGAAAAATGTACATGTATTTAGTAGCACTTTTTTAAATATATCTATTTTATCGCAAGTAAAATGTGCTTGTTTGTTTGTTTTTTTGTTTTTGTTTTTTTGGCTTTTCTATGTTTTTGACGCTAGGCAGTAACATAGTCGAAAAACACTTTCATACAATGTTTATTACAAAATATTACTGATATTTTACATTGCTTACAAATATAATGTTATAATCATTCATTTAGACGGTTGAAAAATTTATTTAATAGTTCTTATTTTAAAAATGTCCATTTCATCGCCAGTAAAATGTGTTGTTTTTTTTTGTTTTTTTTTGGCTTTTCCATGTTTTTGACGCTAGACCGTTACGTAGCCGAAAAACACTTTCATACTGTATTTATAAAAATAATATCACTGACATTTTCCATTGGTAACAAAGAAAGTAATAGTTATTCATTTAAAAGGTTGAAAAAAATTAATAGCGGCTCTTGTTTTAACTACGACTATTTTATCGCCCGTAAAAATGTGTTTTTCGGCTTTTCCATGTTTTTGACGCTAGACTGTTACGTTGCCGAAAAACACTTTCATATCGCATTAAATACAGAATAGAATCATTCTCTAATTTACACTGGTTGCAAAAAGAAAGTAAATTTTAATCATTTAAAGGATAGAAAAAAGTAGATAAAACTAATTTTGTTGGAATTATACCAATTGTATCGCCGTAAAAAGTGTTTTTCGGCTTATCCATATTTTTTAAGCTTACCCGTTGAGTTCCCAAAAACATTTTTATAGTGTGTTCTTTTCGATATAATGCTGACAATTGATAAATTTATTGATCGGAATTGTGAAAAACAATTTCTCTAGTGATTAAAATGGAAATTAGCATATATTTTTTCTGCCTGTGACATGTGTTTTTTTGGCTTTTTCTATGTACTTGCCGCAATTATATATTGCTTGCTATAAACTTTGTAAAAGAGTTTTATGCAATAAATTTATGTTATGTTATGTTATGTTTTTCGGCTTTTCTATGTGCGACGCAGCTCAGCGAATACATTCATCAGCGTATTTTATGATATATTATCGATTTAAAACTGATATTATTGAACCCATTTCATCAAATAACCATCATAAATTATTTATATTGCTGAATTTAATCACAGCCTTAATATTTCTTTATATTTTAAGTGTTTTTCGGTATTTTTTTGGTGTTTTTCGGTGTTTTTCGGCAATTCCATGCACCCATCAATATAAGCAGATTAAAATAATTCCTATTTTCTGAACATAAATTTAATGTATTTATTTCTTAATGCTTACACTGATTTACAGTTAGTTTCAAATGATTATTTCTTATCGTCGAATCTGGCCACATATGCCTATATTTAGCTCCATGCTCTGGCTTAATCGTCAATATCCGAAGTTTGAAGAATTGTTATGGGTCGAACGGTCGAGCGGCCGAATCTTTATTTTTACCCGTACTGTCAGAATCAGGCAATCTTCGCTGAATTTCGAAACATATTTCTTTTCAAAAATCTAAGGCATACAAAAGTGAAAGGAAAGTCATGTGTAAAAACGGTATTCAAAAGAATAGCTAACGAAATTTCTATTTTTCGAAGCCACGATAATTGCCATGTATTTTTTTTCTTAAAAAAAAAAAAAACAACAAAAAATCATTTTCCGGTATACGCTGATAAATTTTGTTACGGAGCTCCATACTCATTTTGTAAAACATTTTAGGCAAATTTTATTGCATAAATGTAAATCAGGAATTTGAGATGTTTCGTCCCAGTTATATAACTTTACTATATTTACGATGTATTCATTCATGCTAGCAAGCGCATGCGTATATGCGAAGGTATAAACTACGATTTTATCAATGAACTGCTATTTTTTGTTTTCTTTAAAGGAATGTAGAGTCTATTATTTCATGAAAATGAACGATTTTGAACTTTCAAAGCATTTAAACAACTTTGCAAACACTATTTTAATGATGTGTAGTCGGAATGTAACGCTACTGCAGAATGAAGAACTAGTTTCTATAGCGGGTTTTATTCGGGAGTGGATGTTGTTCGGTAACGACTTAACCTGTAACGATTTCTGAGATATAGGTACATTGCAAGCAATGTATACAAAAATGACATATGCCCATCCAAGTGTAAATTGTCAGTGACCAGGTAAAAATTATGATATGCCTTATTTATTGACTGACAACGGTTTTGATCATGTTAACCAAAAGCCAACCAATTTTGCAATTACAATTACGATGTCATGAATGGCTTTGCTTCTATGGTAAATAGTATTCGCAATTTAATAATGAATATATAAACAAAGAAAATTAATGTGTTCTTGATTGGCTTTGCTGCTATTATAAATATTTACTGTAATATAATTATGTAGCATCTCAGAGTATACTATTTGTCCACTACTCAGTCAGACCTTTTTTCTCAGTTATTCTTTAAGGAAAATATTGAACCTGGCCATTACATGCACTTTTGTTGTTTGAAAATTTATAATATAAATGAGATATATACATGAATAAATGGATGTGTAATATGACTCTGCAGATCATTACTGCTTCGAACTGAAGTTCCCATTATAAATCCTGGAACATGCAATATCGCATAAATTGTAAAAAGAAATTCTGGTTAGACATTGGCTGGCACATGAAAGACACTGTTAAATTCTGAGAAAATTTAAAATCTGTATAAAAAATATTTCAATCATAAATAGAAGATAATGCGGAAAAAATATATATATGAAGAAGAAACTTGTTTACAAACAGATGTTTAATATTGAACTTTACTTTGCTTCTCAAACCACTTGATGTAATTTTTGTGTTTACACAAATCAATCTGCTGCTTTAATTATAAGTCAACTTTCTGACAAACAAACATTTTGTCCGACACTTCTAGAGGATAAGTATCAGTAAATTTATACATACCAGTATATTAAAGAAGAGACCATTAAACCCTTTACTGCATGAGCATTTTATGAAAAATGGCTGTTGTCAGTGAAAAATCTACCGTTACAGGTTCAAATTGCTATAAAACTATAAAAACAGCAAAACAGCTTTGAACAATACTTATCAAACTTGGCACAAATGTTAACTGGACCATTGCCTTTGTAATCTTAAATTTACTGTTACCATGGCAAAGAGGGGACATCTAAAAATTACTCAAAATTTCAGTAAGCAATGTATAATTTTGAATAAGAAAAATATATTTGTATGGTGGCTGTTTTGTGCCATTTGTGTTTTCGCCCCGCGCCCCTGCCAAGCGAAAAGTCGAAAATTAACAAGTTAAAATGGCAGGGTCTTGGAGCGAAAACTCGCTTATTAGCGAGGGCGCGGGGCCAAGTTTAATAAATAAAACTTCATCCCCCGGGGGAGCGGAGCGAGATTTGAAAAAATAAAACCGCTTGGTCGCGGGAAGAAAACACGCTAATTAGCGGGGACGGGGGGCGAAGTTTAAATAAATAAAACTTCGCCGCGTGCCCCCGCTTATAAGTATGTTTTCGTCCCGCGACCCCGCCGAGCAAAAAGTCGAGAATAAACAAGTTAAAACGGCGGGGGCGCGGAGCGAAAACACGCTTAAAAGCGAGGGCGCGGGGCGAAGTTTGATAAAATAAACTTCAGCCCGCGAAATCGCGGAGCGCGATTTAAGTTATAAAACGGCGGGGTCGCGGGACAAAAACACCTAATTTGCGTGGGCGCGGAGCGAAGTTTAATAATTAATAATTAATACCTATGTTACTATATATAGTAACAAAATCTAGGGTATTCCAAGGCCATTATGGCAAGATCTAGGTCATAATGCGATTTACTCGGCATTATTCTTCATGGCAAAGAGGGGACATCTCAAAATTGCCAAAAATCACAAGTGTGGGGGCCTAAATAAGACATTTTTCACCATTTGAGACAACGAAAAGGAAGGGGGGGGGGTGAAAAAAGGCGTTCATAAGCGTGTAAATCTGGTAATGGGTTAAACAATTTAGGATATTTTTCTTTTGGCTACGTCAGTTATATGATCCGGTTATCTACATGTACATAGATACACATGCATTCTGTACATTAAGTTTCATTATTTATAACATTTAATGTCTTAAGTTAATCCATTACAATAACGTAAAGTAAAGCTATGTTTCATTACATTGAAGTTTAAGAAGAATTTTTTTTCCAGGAAATACCGATTAAACATACAATTATGATACGTTGTGATTTTAGATGTATTCTTATCGGATCACTTTACAAAAAAATGTTCTATATATTAGCGATATGTTATATATTTAGGATGTGTTTCGATGAAAAGCATTACCAGCAACGAACAACATCCCTTTGTTGAAATAAACGGAGATCCTGGACATTGTTTTCCGGGATGTGATGATCACACTGTAGTTGGCGTTACAAAAACAAAGGTGAATTTGTTATAATTTATGTAACTATCAAGCAATTTCATATGTCTATAAATGTATAATTTGTATAACTTTAGTATATATAGGTTTTTTAGATGGTTGTGGAAGCATATAGTAAGAAATGTTTTCTTATGTGTGCTAGAGATTTTCTGAATACAGTGCAACAAAAGTAACCCTTTGAAACATTGAATACTTAGTTAATGAAAGTTCAACATTCCTCATTTGCAATGACAGACAATGAAAAGTATTCAAGCCTTCAAACTTAAAGAGTTAAGATAATTATATATTATTTATTTCACTTACACATAGGCGAGTACAAGCGACCTTTAAAATAGAAAAAAAAGTTTCCTAAAAGAATGCCCCTAATGCCAAAATTAAAAATGTAGCAGGCTTGGTTTGATTGTGCCTGTTCATGGTCGATACTGGAAATTTACGCTCCAAAGCACTCTCTAAAGATCGCCATTCCGTAGAGAGCGGTGTATGTAGCCAAAGTAAAAATATGCGTGTGTTCTTAACGAGAAAACAATTGGCGTGATATGGATGAATTCTAATTGTTCAGACCTCCAATACAGTTACGTCTATTGGCTTTTTAAAAGAATGGGAAAGGTTGTACATGTATATAAATATACATATAGTGTTCATATTTTAGTGCTTAGTGTTAATTAAATGCTGATGTTAAAGAAATTAGAAATCTCTTGACACATTTTAATTTTTTAATCCACTTTACATTTTTTAGAATTAATTTAAATACAGTCACTTAATTGGGACAAAGTTATACTGTATATAATAATATCATATAAAAGAAAAAATGTATTCTGAAGTAAATGACCAGTCTTTGACGAGTCAATGACCAATGTACGTACACCAACTTACCTTTATTGAAAATGTTTCACTTATATGGTTTTCATCCATCTATAAACCGACAATTAAAGTTGTGTTTAAATTCTGACTTTGATCAGTCACATTTTTACCATGGATTTGTGTTTCAGTGTTACTGCCTGGGTTCAGACATATCGTTAGCAAAACCTACACAGACTGGATGTACTCACGAATGTAACCACCCTATTGTTGCATGTGGTTATGATAGTACGGTTATGAATTTTGCTCTCCTATCAATTTACAAAATGAACCCACATGGTAAGTTCCTTCGATATATCAAGGGCATTACTAAATATTATTCCATGTCACAGAGATGTATCATAGAAATGTTTAGTTATATAATTTACAGATAAGTATGATCCAGTTTAACTGAACCATCATAAAAGTTTTCTAAAGGCTCTCTACCTAAGTATTCAGTGTTTAACAGGTGGTCTTTGGTCGCAATATAAGAATTCCTCTATTTCTGTACCTGTTTATTATGCATATCCACATTCAACTACGAAATAAAGTAACTATTCAACAAGGCTTTATTCAAAGTACGTCTCGTTGAATGCCATTGACAAGATATATAGATATAAATATTCTATTATCATATTTTTTTTTTATTTTTTTTTTTGTTTTTTTTTTTTTTATTATTTTGTTTATGCGTCACACCGACACAGTATAGGTTATATGGCGACGTTCCACTTATTGGTGCAGGAAAATCTCAGGTGCCCTTCCGGCATTAGGACACCTGTCGTGAGTAGAATCACCGACGTTCCGTACCACTGCGGTATACCGTACCCCAGATATTGCTCGATATTATGAGGACTTTCATCCCATTTCGCGACTTTGAACGGGGAACGAAGGTAAGTTCAGCTACGATATTTTATAAACTTATGGCTATTTCATTTATCTCAACGGGTTTTATATATCTAAAGGTATTTTTGTAGCTCTAAAAGACGTAAAAGTATTACAGGTATTTGTAAAATTGAATAAACTACCCCTAAACGATCCGCTGCTCACTAGAAAATACTGACCGCGATACTGTAGAATCGTTAGAAATTATTATCTTAACAATATAAAAAAAATTGAATCGAGCATTTTTTTATTCACAATCCAATATGCTTTGTCAAAATTTCAGACAAAAAGTGCGAAAGTACAAAAAGATACAGGGCAAAAAAAAATACAAGAAAGTGTACCGAGTATTGATTTTAAGTGTACAGAGTATTGCAAAATAGCCCAACTTTAGTGTACTGTGTATTGCAAAACAATATGAGCTCATTAGTATGGAAAATCGATATTTTTGTCTAATTTTCACGTCTGTTTATCGATTCCATTTTATTTTGCTGATAATGCACTGTTTATGTGATATTTATTCAAATATTTCAAATTCAACAATGCATTTTCAGTGTTATAACTGTTTATTTCCTACGGGCAAATACAGAGATTTAATTTCCCATTTGATTGAAAATCACAATATGGATGAAATAAAGTGTGTGCATGGTCGGAAGCAGGGTCAGGAGTAGGGTAGAACCATCAAAATTGACGATAAAAATCTTCAAATACATGTCCCAAGAAACTGTAATCAAGGAGACCCATCTCTGAAAAGAAGAAGAATAACAAAACATATTTAGATGACATTAATAATAGGTTTTTACAGGGCAAGTTTGTCTTAAGAAACATATCGAAAACACTTAGTGAAATATTGGCTCGAGTACTTATGCCGTCTAAGCATGCCGGTATCGTCTTACCCTTTTACTGCATGAGCATTGCGATCATTGAATTAAGCCTCTTGTTTTAAGTTCAAACTGCTATGAAACTATAAAAAAATGCTTCAATACTGATCAAACTGGGCACAAATGTTGGCTGGACCATAGCCTGTGGAATAGCATGCTCAATTTTAAATTTCCAGTTACTATGGCAACAATTGCCAAAAATCTCTATTTTGAGTTGTTTGTTTTTCCATCAAAACTGATTTCAAGGCGCAGCAACTTCTCAATTGATTGAAATAAAGTCAAAGGTTGTTGGCGTTGATAACACGGTACCTTTAAATCGGCCTGAGACAATTTTAGCCCCCCTCACAAGCCCCAAATCTTCTCGGC